AGTCCCTGATGGAGCAGGAGAAAAGTGGGGTGCAGAACTCAAATTCTAGTAAAAAGACTAGACTTAGTGGTCTGACTGAGACTGGAGGGATCCCGGAAGACATGGCCCCCAGACTCTCTGTTAGCCCAGAACTGAAACCATTCCCGAAGCCAAATCTTCAGACAAAGATTAGACTGGACTATGGGACATAAAATGATACTCGTGAAGAGAGTGCTTCTTAGCTCAAGTAGATACATGAGACTAAATGGGCAGCTCCTGTCCGGAGGCGAGATGAGAAGGCAGAGAGGGACAGGAGCTGGTTGAATGGGCACAGGAAATTCTGGGTGGAAAGGAGGAGTGTGCTGTCGCATTATAGGGAGAGCAGCTATGGTCACACAGCAATGTGTGTATAAATTTTTGCATGAGAAACTGACTTGAACTGTAAACTTTCACTTAAAGCACAATTTAAAAAAAATATTTAATGTACTAAAAGGGTATTCAGTATAATATCTTCATAGGTTAATACACCACTTCACACTGATCTTAGAGGTAAAGGATAATCGACACTTCATGCTGTGGAAACTGATCTCCTTATATGTATTAGGCAAGGAGATGATACACTAGGGTTTTAAAACTTGGCTGGCACAGCTTCTTGTTGCCCCTTACAAAAGCAGTTAAAAGGCATTTCACAATCTACTCAGAGAATTTTGCAAATTTAGAGAAAAAACTATAAAGCAAGGTAAACTAAATGCAAAATTTATAACAATGGATTCTACAAAACTCGAGTAGCAGCAGTGACAACCATGAATGTTGTGTAATTCAGTTTATCTGTGTCTGGTGACAGAAGCATGGAAAACTGGAATCCGCGGAACAATTCAAAAGCTAACTTTAAAAATTTCAAACTTAATCTCCAACAAAGGCCCATATCAGCTGACTTTCTTGAAATGCGTGCTACTTATCACCTGATAGAGGTGTTAATGTGCATTTAGATGGTTCAAAGTCAGACTAAGCGACCACAGCAAACACACACGGGGTGATTAGTACCTGAAATAACTGGGAATTTCTCATAAGACTTTCTGGCAACTACGTACATTTCTACACACCTCTAACAAAAAGTAAACTTCATGGCTATATGTGGTTATTGATGTTATTTGCATTATGAGTTATTTCTGTAATACAGTTGGTGGGATACCCCAAACATGTCCTTTGGTGAATTACTCAAAAAAAAAAAAAGTCTTCCCTCAGAAACAGATTACACATTAGCCTCTCCTGGTCCTCTGGAATTGAAGCGACAAGCATTGGCGAAGCCCAGCAAACCAGCAGCTGCTGTTCCTGCCAATGACAGGAAATAGCCCCATTCTTTCTAGGACCGGCGGGGCTGGCATGAATAATAGCTCTCTCACTTTTTAAGCCTGAACAAGAAATAAAATTTTCCCTTTCCAAGCTAATCAGAAAGTGAATGGTAGTAGTGTCCTTCCAAACCAACTCACCAGATGACTTTGAGTACATTTTTGGGTGAGTATGACTGACCATGTAGACACTGTCTAACAATGTATACACAATTGAACTTGGATGCTGATGGTTATAGTGCCCTTCCATCTAAGAACTCCTCCTTCATTCACCCAGTCTAGGTTAGATGTTCCTCAACATTTTTTGCCTGCTGATTTTCATGAACTGTGTCTCCTTATCTGCCCTTGCCATTAGATCACAGGCACAGACCCTCTTGTTTGCCTTATATCCACTGGCAACCACCAAAGTGCCTGTCTCAACTGGTTGTCAATAACTATCTCTAGAGCAAATAGATGAAAAGGGAACTATCTGGTTTAAGCCAGTCAGCAAACATTAAATGAGCACCCACAATGTCTTAGACACACTGTACTAAGGACTGGAGATACAGCAGTGAGCAAGGAAAACATGTTCCCCATTAACGTCCAGTGAGGAGGGCAGGCATGAAACGATCTGTGACCACGCAGATATTTACTTCTGTGCTAAATGCTCCATGGGAGTAGACACCACAGGGAACCATCCTAGTCTGCAGGGGATGTGCTCACAGCAGGCTTCTCCCAGGAAGCGGAGGTTATGGCAGGACCTGAAGGAGACGCAGATGCTGGTCAGGCATACTGTTCTTAGTTGCCCGAGTCCATTCCGACTCATGGCGACCCCGTGTGTGCAGAGTAGAGCTGCTCTACAGTGTTTTCAAGGCTGGGACCTATGAAAGCAGATCACCAGGCCCGTCTTCTGAGGCGCCTCTTGGTGGTTTAGAACCTCCAGCCTTTGGCTAGTAGTCAAGTGCTTAGCCGTCTGCACCACTCCGGGACTTCAATACCAGCTTGACCCACTCTGGCTGTGTAATATCCTCTCAATTGACCAGGTTTCTCCTCTGCATACGTGAAGATTAATAATACCTAACCATCATTCTTACTGTAGGGATGAGAAATAATACCCGGGACTTGGTATAGGGGCTTAGGACATGGTAGTGGCCGTTACTGAAAACTGTATTGTTAGTTTGGTCTTAAAAGTAGTCCCAGCCTCTCTTGGTAAGAGACATCAACATACTTTTTTTCATCCTATATTGGATCACCTCCTTGTTGAGTTGCAAATTAAACACTGCTACATTAAAACTTCTAGCCTATCTTCCTGAAAACTGAAATTTATGTTCGTGATTATAATGTGGGCATTTCCCTATTGGAAATGAAGTAGGCTAGGCTATGGGGTCACCAAAAGGCCATTCCAGCACTAAAATTCTTGTTTTTGCTCTTTTCCATGTCTTGCTTGGCTGTTAGGTACAATGCTTTGTATACTATCCCAGGGTAATTATCCCCTAAAATCACTATTATTATGCTGAGCTGGAACATGCAGTACTAATATCATGAGTTCTTTTTAAAATCTAAAGTATGTCTTTCTTCTGAGATTTTAAAATAGCTGATTGATTCATCAGCAAGGCTGCTGGCTACAGATGCGATGGAGCGCTGAGTTCTAAGGGAACAGCTCTCTGTGCCAAAGGCTTCTGGCTATCATCTAACTTAACCACCTTGATACACAGACAAAGAGGGCAAGGTCCAAAACGCTTCTTGCCAAGATTGAGTCCATAGTTAGAATGCACTTTTCGATTAAGACAGCACATCTATCTCTTTGAAGCAGTTAAGCTACTCCACTTTGGGACAGTACTTAGAATGCTGTGACTGAAACTCAGGCCGCAGCACTATGCTGTTCCCACGGTTTTCTTACTCTCTAATACTCAAGCATCCAGTGCCCCAGCCCTGACTTTTTAACACCCAGGGATAACCTTGGCTTCAGGGTCCACGTGAAAGTAGATTCAGGCCTAGAGTCCGCGTTCCCCTCAGTTCAGTCACCCTGACACCCCCAGCGGTGGCCCAGCCCCGCTGGAAGACCTGCGGGGCCCTGACTTGAGTGTATGTATGTTGCCATGGTTACTGCCCGCCCCTCACAAGTGTGATGTCACTTCCCTTTGACTTGGAGTTGGGAGAAAGGAGCTGTAGGGATGGAAACCAGCTGTGGGCTAGGGGTGGTGTGCCCTTACTCTTCTGTTGTCTGTAGTAAAGGTTCTAGTCACAGCTCTGCCACTTAATAACAGCAAGACTGGGCAAATTTCAGTAAAAGAGGGATTTGGACTACATTTTCTCTAAGGTTCCTTCTCATCTAAAAATTCTACAGTCCCTTAATTGTACTTGGTGAGGAAAGAGTTTCCCTCTACTAGGGTAACATACAAACATACGTACAGTACATAATATACGATACTTTGACTAGAGGGAAGAAGTAGCCTGGTTACAACCGAACGCCATACAAGTGACAGCATTAGCGTGAAACCCCACATACCAGGGAGCTGGACTTCCAGCAGCCTTGGCCATTAGGGGCACAGCTGTGAACCAGAAGTGTGTAATGGCCTTACAACTCCATTCACTTAGCTCCTGAGGAGACAAGAGGCATTAGCCTCTACTCCCTTTCATAGCAATTAAGGTACAGTGAGGAAAAGAGATGAAAAATGTAGGTTTTCCTGGAGCAGAAACTCTTCCGGGGATCATTCACTGGCTAAAGGGTTGTGGAAAGGGGAGAACAATATGAATGACAAGGTGGTAGAATCCAGTAACCTGCTACCTCAGAACAATGATCCTGTGACTCCCCCATCTCCGATTCCATACTTCACCACACACTAAATGCTTAGGAAAGTACATTAGTTCCTTCACGCCAATCAGATCAGGCTTGGATTACCAGACAATTACTTCTCACATCTAAAACAAGAAACGTGTTCAGTGGTAGATACTGATTCACAAAGACCCAATCCTCTCTGCAGCTACAGTCTTTTCCTGAAGTAAGCTATGTGCTTGGGAAGATGATTCACACTTTTTCTCCAGGAGGACACTGCCGAATGCCAGAAACTCACACATTAAAAACCAAGCGTTCTCCTATTGCCACGTGTTATTCCTTGGCACTGCCCCCTCCCTCCCTCCTGGCCTCAGCTGAAGTAGTCTGGGAACCTCAGTCAGGTCTCCAGGGGACAGAACCATCCTGAGCTGGAGGCTGGGAACTTCCACAGAGACTTCTTTCATGAAGTGTGGCCTTTAAATCCATAGTCAATGAATTGAACTGACATTTAATTGTCAACAATTCCTATACTGTGTATTCATGTTATTTCCATTAAGAAAAACAAAACCTCTTTATAACTGATACATACACTTAGTGAAAACCCATTTTACATTTCTCCCTATAATGTTTTGTATGTGTGTTACAAAACTCCAAGATACCCTTTAAAAGATTCCAACGTTCGATCTTTGTCTTCTGAGCCCAATTAGTTAAAAAAAAAAAAAGAAAGATGAATTCATTACTGCTTTGAGTCCTTAAGGATATCTATTTCTCTCTCCTGCCTCAGAAAAGCAAGACAAAAAGAGATCTTGAAAACGGACAAGCATAAGAACAACTAGCATTAAGGGTGCTTAGTTAAAAACGCTGGTTCCCAAGTCCATACGTAAATGTTACGACGTTTGACACAACTTTAAACCTACCTCCTCCTCTCTCTTTCTCATCCTCTTCTTTCAGCAGCTTGCCAACAGAATTATACCACTTGAATTGCGGGCCAGGGACGCCATCAACACTACAATTAATCAAGGCACTGTTCCCTTCCTTGACTATGATATGGTCCATTGTGGCAAGGATGATGGGCACAGATCCCAAGACCACATCAGTGCCATTTAAAGTGCTGTTGGTCACACTCTTAGCAGTTGCTAGAGTCCATACTAGGATTAAAAAGGGCACAGAAGGTAAAAAGCACACAGTCAGATGGCTCTTCAACTGATCCATCTTCTTTGCTTTCTCTGTAAGGCAATAGAGAGATGGTTTGCCAACGGAATCTTCTATTAGACAACAGACTGTTCAGAGCAGGCCATGGGACAAACCTGTCCTGGATCCATAGAGTTGGAACTTGATTAAGAACCTGTTTAAAAAACAAAAAAAAAAACCACACACACACAGAGAAATATTAGCAGTCACACTTTAAAGATAATATTTACAAAAATGTCAGCAATTTAGCTAAAATCCAAACCTAAATGATTTTAAAACAAAGAACAAATTCAGAAGTTCCAAACATTACATTACATTTCTCACAGAAATCATAATTATATAATTTTCTTATAATTAAAACATACAGGTCTTTACAGGAACAAATATATTTCTTTCTTATGTTAAATTTATTTCACATTTCTTTGTGGAGTTCAAAAACCGATTCAGGCTCCCTTCACTTCATTTCGCCATCACAGGGTCTTTTCTTCATCCTATCACCTGTCTCCATCTGCAATGACCTGACTGTCCACCTGGGAAGTCTCTTAACCTCTTCCAGTAAACGTGACTTCCAGTCTATTTCAGCGGGTGCAGCTTGGGCTCTGCGAGCATTTGGAAGAGCTCCACCAAGATTAGTCCAGCATTCTCCTAACTCCCCATTCGGCTTCCATAATACACTTTCTTCCAGCTCATGCAATAACCCACGCTCCTTTCAGCTTCACCATTGTCTCTCTCTCTCTGCTCTGTGCTACTGTTACCTATCGATGCTTTATCACTCACTGAATTCCCTGCTTTCAATCTTCATCTGCCTCCCTGAGACTGGGGAACATCAAGATGTACATGATGACACTATGGGTGACTGCACTTCTATGTCCAAAGATCTAACCTTCACCTAGTCCTCCATACTCCATTTCATCCACTAATCCCAGGGCCACACCCTGGACCTTTCATCTCTCCAAATTCTAAATTCTGAAGTTCTAAGAAATTCCGAAGTTCTAAATAAACCATCTTTAACTGCAACCTAACATTCCTCCAGATCTCTTACTTCCCTTATTCGGCCTTTCTGGGCTTTCTAGCCCTTTGATTTCCTTTAGTCTCTCTCTCTAAACTCTACCTGCATGCTTCACTTCGGTCTCAGTCTACACCCAATCCCCAACATCCTCGCCCCTTGTTTTTCTGCCACGATTGTTCTGCCAGTATACAACATTGATCAAGTCGATCATTTGTCATCCTGGCTCCTGTACCTTGGAGGCTGGAGCACCAAGCTCTTAACCACTGCGCCATCAGGGCTCCTACTGAGAGAATCATACAACCATGTAATTATTGCCAAAACAGATGAACCATCTCCAACCCTAGCCTGGCCCTCAGTGACATTTGGCAATCTGTGTACCAGGGCTTTGATGATTCAGTATGGTCTTCCTATAACGCCTCTCGGCATCTTCAACTTTGTAATCAAGAACCGTAGCCTACTGTAGTCCCCTCTTTCTCAAAAACAGACCTTTCTCCTTCAGGCTTGCAGGCATGAATTCCCTCTACCCTTCTTCCCACTTTTTGCAAAGCTCACTTTATCTTATCCTGATTTCTTCACTGGCCATTTACTCCTCAAACTACTACATTCTGTATTTTGCTGGCTCTTTAATGAAACTCTTGCTGAGGTCACCAGTGAGTGACTTCTAGTTGCCAAGTTTCCACTCTTCCTCTTACCAAATCTCTGTGACAGCTGCCATTATTAACTGACCTTTCTCAAAACTCTCTCTTTCCACGGGGCTTCCACATTTGCTCCTACCTTCCTATTTGCTTTCATTATTCTTTACTAGTTCTTCGGAGCCCTGGTGGCACAGTGGTTAAGAGCTAGGCTGCTAACCAAAAGGTCAGTAGTTCAAATCCACCAGTTGCTCCTTGGAAACCCTATAGGGCAGTTCCACTCTGTCCTATAGGGTCGCTATGAGTCGGAATCAACTGGACGGCAATGGGTTTGGTTTTGGTTTAGTTCCTCCTCTTCTTGTCACTCCTTAAAAGTCAGTTAACCCCTAGAGTTCCATCATAGCCCTCTTCTCTTTTCACCCACAAGCTCCTCCTAATGTTCCATTCCGATGCCTTTGATTACCAACTGTTATGGACTGAATTGTGTCCCCAAAAAATATGTTGTAAATCCTAGCCTCTATGCCTGTGGTTATAATTCCATTTGGGAATGGACTGTCTTTGTTATATTAATGAGACAGGATTAGTCTAGGATGTATCTTGAGTCAATCTCTTTTGGGATATAAAAAAAAATTAAGCAAGCAAGCTAGCAAGCAGAGATGGGGGTAAGATAGATGCCAAGACACATGAAGATCTCCAAGGAACCAAGAGCAGAAGCTGAAGAGACAAGGACCCTCCTTCCAGAGCCGACAGTGAGAGCCTTCCCTTAGAGCCGGCACTCTGAATTCAGTCTTCTAGCCTCCAAAACTGTGAGAAAATAAATTTGTTTCTGAAAGTCATCCACTTGTGACATTTCTGTCCTAGCAGCACTAGATAATTAAGACAGAATTTGGTACTGAGAAGTGGGGGTACTGCTCTAAAAAATACTTACAATATGAAAGTGGTTTGGAATTGGGTAATGGCTGGAGGCTGGAAGTTTTAAGGTGCCTAACAGTAAAAGCCTAGATTGCCTTGAAGAGACTGTTGGTAGAATTATGGACATTAAAGGCAGTTCTGGCAAGGGCTCAGGAGGAAGTGAGAAGAGCTATAGAGAAAGTCTCTATTGTCTCAGAGAATACATATGGCAGGAGCAATAGAATGTTGCTAGAATTGTGGAAATTAAATGTGCTTCTGGTGAGGCTTTAAAAGAAAATGATGAATGTGTGATTGGAGAATGGAAGAAGTGCAATGCTTTTTATGTAATGGCACAGAACTTGTCTGAATTATGTTCAAATGTTTGGTGGAAGGTAGAACTTGTAAGTGACAAACTTGGATATCTGGCTGATGAGATTTCTAAGCAAGATCTTAAAAGGGGCCATGTGGTTTCTCCTTGCCGCTTACAGTAAAACATGAGAGGAAAGAGACAGACTTAAAAATGAACTGTGCAAAATGAAAACAGAAGTTAAAGATTTGGAAAATTCTGTTGTACAAACTAAGGACATGTGTTCTAGAATGTTCACCAAGGACACGGCTACACAATCTTTTGTTAAAGAGATTAAGCCTGTGACTGATGGCTCTAACCAGCTACCACAGCAGAAAACTCATCAGCTTAGACTGAAGGGGACAGAGAAAGAATGGAAGGAGAGAACACGGTCTGCCTCTTGGAATTCTACAGACAGGAAATAGGCCAAAGGAGCTATATCTGTTGTCCTCCAAGAAAAGAAAAGGACTATTCCTGGAGCAGTTTGGAGATCAGCAGAACTGTTGGAAGGAGCACAGGAAGCAGGGCCTTCTTGGTTTCAAAGGGTGAGGCCAAGGTCTTCTGGTGGGGCCACAGCCTCCTAGGTTTCAAAGAGTCAGACCTTTGCCAATTCCAGGGTGTGGAGCGGCCATTAACGTGTGCTGGGGGTGGGGCCACCACCCAAAGCTGAGGGGGCAGGGCTGCCATATCCAAGGGGCAGAAAAGGGGGTAGGGTCGCCACTCAGAAGGACTAGGAGAATGGGGCTGCCCAAAGTCAAAGGAGCAGAGTTAGAAGATGGAGCTAAAGCCCAGGGCCGAGGGGCCTCTACCCAGAATCCAGAGGGTGTGGCCAACCCCCAGAGTATGGAGGGTGGGCCCTTGCCCAGATGGTTTCAGAGAACAGAGGATTATTTTCAGGCTTTGAGAGCTAATGTAAATTGTTCTACTGGGTTTGGGAATTGCTTGATGCCGGTTATCCCTTCTTTCCCTCCAATGTCTCCCATTTGTAAAGGAAATGTCTACCTTTTGCCTGTCCCACCATTGTACTTTGGAAGGTGATAACTTGTATTCTAGATTTCTCAGGTTCACAGATGAAAAGGAATTTTGCCCCAGGATGGAATCTGCCTAAAGTCTCACCCATATTTGATTTAGATGACTCAGAAGATGAGATTTTGGAGGTAAGGGCAAGATGGCAGAGTAGTCAGACACTTCTGATGGTCCCTCTTACAACAAAGACCGGAAAAAACAAGTGAATGGATTATATATGATAATCCAGGAGCTCTGAACATCAAAGGCAAGGTTGAGGAATCGGACTGAGTGGCAGGGGAAGGGAGAGATGGTTCAGAAGCAGTGAGGAGTTGCCAGACCTGACCCGGCAGGAGTGGCACCACGCAGGCCAGATCGGCTGAGGTGGGCTGTGGCATTTAGAATGCATTTTCCACATTGGGAGAGACTGAGCAGCGGAGAGTCTGCTCAGGCCTTCAGAGACTGTGAAAAGAGGCACTCAATCGGCAAAAGATGAGCACGTGTGTTTAACCTACCACACGGATCAAACAACACCCCGTCTGGGAAGAACCTCTCTCCCAGTTACCTGCTCCCTCCCCATGCTACACCGGGTCCCGGGCTGGCTTCAGCAATTTCCACTTCCCCTGGGCCAGAAGTATGACCCGTCATGCGCCCTGAGCCATTCTCCTATCCTTGGAGAAGAAACAAATTGACAAACAGGAAAAAATCATCTGCCAGCTCCCCTAAGCCGGCAACTCAGGGCAGGCACAGCTCCTTTGCCTAGGCACAGGCATAAGGGGTCACGAACTTTGAATGCCTTTTACCCCTACATAGACCTGTGTGAGCCCATTACAATAGCACAGACCCTCGTAAGCAAAGTACAACAGGGTATATACCTGAAGCCTAACTTCACTGTATCAGCTATATGTTGGAATGGCAGGTTCAGGACATTTGACACAGCTCTGCCCATTAAGCAGGGTCCTCACCTACCCACATCAGGGGCCTGAGAATGGGTAGTTCACCCACACCACCTAGCCACCTGCGACGGGGGTCCAAGAATAAGTGGTGCCTCCCAGTCCTTACAGCCAAAAGCACTCGGTGCCCATAGTCCAGCTGTAAAACCCACCCACCTATGCACTGTAGGGAACATGGACACGCTTTCCTCCCAGACACTCAGGGGCAGCTGTAGCCCCTTGCCTTGCTCAGCGCATGATGCCCTACTGCAGCCAGGTACCTGTGCCTATTCCAATCACCCCTGCCCGTCTAGGACTGTAAGTGAGAGCTTGCACCAC